TGTGTTCTCCATTCATCTGTAAAGCTGATAAAAGTTTTCAGATACAGAGCAAATGAAGGTTCACTTCTCACTATACTGTTTTACTGAATGACATCTATAACATTTGTTTGAATGTGGAAAATTTAAATTTAGGATGGAAAAGTTAGAGATTCTACAGTCAAGTTTTCTTTTTATTACCAGAAAGAGAGAAATCTGAAGTTCTGAAAACCAAACAAGCTTTCACACTCATTTCTATTCAGACAAAACAACAAGCAGTGACTGTATTGTTTGGAGATGCACAAATTAGTATCTGTATCAGTCCTGATACTGAAAAAAATTCTCGATGGGGTATCAGGAACAATGTGCCTGATCCATAAGGGCAGATCTGTTCAGTCTGATTCTATGCCCTGTGCTCTGAGTGATTTATTTATTTTACACTATACTTAGAATTTCTAGTTGCACTTTCTGAACCATTTGAAAGAAAGTTTGTTGCAGTCAAACAAAACACCTATTGTTTTTGTCAATTCATCATTCATTTTATGTTGACTGTTCTCCTCTTAATTACACTGATAGGACAGATTAAAATTGTTGTTTTTGGCACATTTGACTAAGTATGTGAAGCTATTGATGTATTTAAGTGTTCTATTCTTGTACAGAGTTATCAAATATCTTTGTGAATCAGTTCATTTAGTATCGCAGGTGAAACGAATGGATTGGTGCGCCCCCATAGTAATGTTCTGGTGAATTGATATCAAATTCCTATTTTGGTTTTATGTAACCAAAAACAAGCTTCCAGTGTTTACTGAAGTCTCAATATAATATTTCATATGGGAACATTTCTTTGAAAATCACAACAAGTTACTCCATCCTGTTTAGTTCTAGGTTTTAGCTTCAACACAAATGCTCAACTTTCAATGGACCTGAATGGGCTGATGCCAAATAGCAGCTGTTAGATGAAGTGGAGCTGTTTGTTTTTCTCACACATGTCTCATACCTCATTAGAAATGGATGAGCTGGTGCAGGCAGTGGAATATATTGGCGTTTAAACGCCTGATGCAAATCCTCTCATTGTGTTCGTCCCTTCTCTGACTCACTGATGGAAAGGTGGAAGTTTTTGTCTCAGGCAGCGCCACTGGTGTCTTAATCCTAAGATTTTAAGGAACGCTGCTGATTTTCCTGCCATACCTATGACACTCAGCTGTCGTTAAAGTGTGTGTGTTCGTATGTGTGTCCCGTCTCTCAGGGTGTGTACGGAAGCGCTGAGCTACTTCATCAGCTTGACCTCAGAGAGCCACAGAGAGGCTTGGAACAGCCTGCTGATGCTTCTGCTCACCAGGACACTACGGCTGCCCGACGACAAGGCATGAACACACACACACACACCACACACACACATTTTACCTGTGATTACACATTAACCGTCAGTAAACCTTAAAGAGAGGCTTGGAGAATGAGTGAAATGCCTACTGGTTTTAAATAAGTGGGATCAGAGGTGTTTTTGATTTAAAATGTTAATAATGACATGTTTTTCCATGACTCATGTCCTGTTGGTGTGAGCCCATGAATCATCGATGCGTCACTGCCCCCCAATGTGACTCAGATATTTTCTGAGAATTTTAGGCCAAAAGAGCTACAGTTTCTGTTTCTACAAAATGTAACTGGGGACAGTAAAGTGTTTAAAAGGAGCAAAATCTGCACTTTAGTGAAATTCTTCAGTTCAAATTTAAAGGGGTTAGTATTATATGAAATCTACTTTTGTGAGCTTTTCATTATGTTGTGATGTCATTCAATCATCAAAAACAGATGTTGCTTTGATTTTTTTCATGCATCTTTGAGAAATCATTCATCTTCCATAGCAACCATTCAGTTGTGCAAAACACCTTGTTGGATCTTGTTCCGCCTTCGAGGATGAAGCTCCTCCTCAGAGCAGCAGATTCCAAGCTTCGAGCTTCCTCCTCACAGAGCAGCTTTTCCCCCGCCACTCCCCGACTCGGCTCCTTCAGACTAGCCAGCAGCAATTAGCAAACACCTGGTGAAACTGCACATCTGCTGAACTTATTGTATGAGCCACTTCTCAGTGCAACGCTGGTAAAGATGTTATTGAAGGGTTAATAGTGGAGACGTGTTGTAATGACTTCCTGAAGGCAGAGATAGAGATAGAAGCCCAATTTCAATTTAAAATACCCAGTCAAATTTTTTTATGGTATGTTTTATTTTCATAGCATTTTTAACAACTGAAGGCAACATAGTTTTATTGCATTTCAGCTACTCAATCTCTTACCTACAATTCCACTGATTGGAATGAGATTAAATGTTAAATATGTATAGTTTAAGCTCTGAATATTCTGACTATGAACATGATGCCCATCTGTTCCCCATTTGTCCTCATAAGCATATTTCTGTCTTGCAGTTCAAGCCCCATGCTTCCTGTTACTACCCCCACCTGTGTGAAATGATGCAGTTCGATCTGATCCCGGAGCTGCGGGCCGTCCTCAGGCGCTTCTTCCTGCGCATCGGCTCCGTCTTCCAAATCGCTGCTCCCGATGGGGCGCCCGCCCGGACCCCTGTCTCCTAGGAGACGGTGGGGGAGGAGGGTTCGGCGCATGTCTGGGTTTAGCAAAGGGAGAGAAAACTTTAAAAAAAAAAAAAAATTTAAATAAATGAAAACAAAGTTGACCTGAGGATCAAAGGTGGACTTGATGCATAAACTTTCCTCTCGTCTGTCAGACTGGATTGGATTAGAGGGGAATGGAGGGAATGGAGTCAGAGTGCGTTTCCGGTCTCGTTTCAGGATTCTACATCAGTGTTCAACTTTTCTGTCGTTTCTCAGCCTGTAGAGAAACCTCCATCCTCACTCTCTGGGATAAACAGCACTGTGACTGGCTCTCATCTCTCATTGTCCCACTGACAAAAACTGTAAAGATATAATTTATTGTTGCTAAATCCTCTTCATGTTCCTGGATTGCTTTCTGTTTTGTTGTTTTAATTTTTAAAGCTAATCTAAGAAATTGGGAATGAATCAGACGGGAATCTAAAGGTTTCCCTTTGTTGAAAAATGGCTTTCCGCCAACTGTGCCTGTTTGGACGAGGACGATCTTATCTGTTTCCGCTCCACCTCCATATCTGAGTTGTTTGGGTAGCAACCGATTCCCATTAACAGACTTTAAACCGTTTGCTGCACGCAACACTATCAGAGCTCAAGCAGCTTTACATGGGACTTCGCTTTGTCATCTTTGTTAGCAACATTTTATTTATTATCTTGATTATTTGTTTTTGTTTGTCTTATTGGTTGTTTTTTTCGTGAAAACTGCGACGTTTACGCTGAAAAAAAGGTAATTTTTGTTTTTTGACTTCTTGCTCATTCCCCATCCAGACTAACAGTTAGAGAATCCCTGTTAGCTCCCAAAACTCTGCCTTCATCTCTCAGTCAGGTTTACAGTCCATTTCCACACTTTTTGCACATCTGTATGCCCCTTTCAATTATTAGTTTCGAATGTCCATCAGTGTCGGTTTACTTTAACCTTGCAGTTCAACAAAAGCGTTCAGGATAAGTCCATCAACATCGTTCGACCTCGGTTTGTTCCACGGCTTTTCTGAAGGATGTATGTAATTATTTCAAGTGCATTTAAATATATTTTTTTTGAAAAAGTATTCCTTCCCTTGCAACTATGGATGTCTACTTTTTCTTCCCCAATACCAGGGAGTATATAAATAAATAAATATATATGTATATTATACAGTAAATGACAAAAGTACAGACTGTAAAGTTTTCCATGTAAGATACATAGAAATGAAAGTGCTTATATGGTTCTATACATAATATTGTGATGTAATCTTCCAAACATTTGGTGAAGTAATCAATAAATTTGATTTCTGGTCTGTTCCAGGTACTTTTGGTGTACTGCTTAACAACATTTTGTCTGTCTCAAAGGAGACGGACTGTTCCTTCAATGGATCCTCACAAATACAAAATTTATCATTGTGCTCTTAGTCTCGAGAAACTCAGCTAAGTCATATCCTTCATCAGGTTCTCATTCAGTTCATCCCCGATTCCTCTTTGTGGTCTTCCTTTGCAGTGACAAAGTTTTGAAATCAGGTAACATTTCACCAGTTAGTGGTCAGAATGGGGTGAATCTGAACGTCAGCTGATCCAGCGAACGCTCCCCTCAGCTTCTGGGTTCATATGTTTTCAACGTCTGCTCTCCAATAGCATCCAGATCAAGATAATACTCTGATGGTGGTTTTCCTTATATTGATTGATTTAGTTATCTCCGTGATGTTCTCTCCATAGTAGCACCAAGTGGTCTGATCGGTGTGTGTAATCTGTCAAAATTCATGGGTAACCATCAGATTTTAACCGTTTAAAAAACCTGTCAAAGACGAAAAGTATTCAGCTAACACAACCCCTGAATAAATGGTACTGGTTAAGTAAAACCTTTGGCTCGAAATGTTAATATGTAGATATTGCACTAATTAACTCATTGGAGTTTTATGGAGATTTATGAACTAGTGCACTTAAAAAGTGTTAAATACGTTTTTGAAACAAAAGTTGAAGCCTGGTGAAAATGCCCTCCATGCTCTCCCCGGATCCACAAAGACTCAGTGCCACTTACTCTGAACTGTTTTCAACGTCTGAGTTGATGCTGATGTTTGTTTGTTTGTTTTAAATAACCGCAAAACAATATTTCTGCTTCAGGAATCCATTTATGAGTGGCGTAAAGGTTCTAAAAGAATTTACAGAACTTTTACATTTAATGGAGACATTTTGTGAATGTCAAGACTCAAACTATGAATGTAACTTAAAAAATGCAAACATGATGAGGAAAACAATTCCATCACAAATCCAGTTCAATAGTCTACTTTTTTTTAAGTATGTTTCCAAAACTTGTTTGGAGAAAGAGTCTTTAATCCGTTGGTCCAGTTGTGACAGATTTCTGACATTCTCACTTTTGTCCACACGATGGCAGTGTGGTCTAACTTCTGGTATTCCCATGAGCCTTTGGATTTGGGGGTAACAAAGGTTACTATGGAGACCTCTCACATCTTTTGTTGTCCACTTAAGTGTAAAGGCGCCCGACAGCTGCTACATGGACCCCTGTAAAGCTAATATTACAAATGAAGAAGTAAGAAAATATTAACTGTTAACGGTACGGTTTTGTATTTTGGCTGAGAGTTGTAACTTCTCGTGGAAGCATTCAAACGCTACATTTGGACTCGCTGTTATTCCCCCGTTTTTTAACGACAGTTCGCCTAGTGCAGTTCACAACAACCGCGACTTCCGACCAGGAGAGCCTCGCCGTGGGTTTAAATCAGTATACGGTAGTGAAATAAACTTATTCCACAGGCTGTGGTTTGGTCACGCACCACGTAGAACGGTGGGCGGATCTGTGCAACTGGGAACCAATAAGGAGCTCCGTCGGCGTTAGCCAGGCAGGCTAGCAATGACGGTTTGGATCGCTCCTAGTTCCACCGGGGTTCGGATAGTGTTCCGACAGACATGAGTTTGTGGAGACCACCCTACAAGTAAGAGTTCCAGTTAATCCCACGAGTCTCACTCCGAGCCGTGTGTTCTTTCATTGGGGAAATGACGTGTAAAGGGAGCGCTTTGCCGTGGCTTTGCTTGTGAATCTTCCCACCGCAGAGAGGTCGGCCGATATGGATGAACGAGAGATCTGTATTTTGTTTCTGCCAAGATTGTTTAGGTTCCGTTGTTCCGCCTAAGCCCAAATGTGCTCGGGCGGCTCTGTAAACTATTTGTTGCTTTTTTAGGACACATTTGTTGGCTCGCAGCTTTCTATGAGACGCGGTGACAGCCATATTCTCTGGATCGCTGCCGCTGTTGGGATAGCAGAGGTGGAGCTGTGCTAGTCTTCATCACCGGGTTTAAAATGTCATTGTTGTTGTTAAGATGCTGGTGTGGTGAATACTATTTAAATGTGGTTCATGGTGGCGTCTCAAAGTGGCTTAATTTTCACGTGTCGTGATTAACGCTCCTTTCCCGGTGCGTTAAACCAGGAGAATGGCCTGGTGATGATGCCTTCAGGGACCCTTCGTTCATCCGCAGCACTCTGGTTTTTTTCTTCTTTTTTTTCATTATGAAATATTCGGGACATAATGCGGCAAAAGAAAGTCTATATAAGCTTTATTAATATCGTTTTAAAATAAAATTTGTAATTTCTCCAAAAATTGAATCATTATTAGACAGTACTACTAAGACGGGTAGTCAATTAAAAAATCAGTTCGTTAAATGTTTTGTTCATATTATCTCGTTTCCGTTAATAAATAACACTTCATCGACCTGAGGACAACAAATGTAAGATTTTCAGACAGCGCTGTTTTGATTATTCTATTTTACGGATTCTGGTACATTTTTTGCTCGCAGTAGAGACGTGCGGTCCTGCGCCGATAGGTCCAGCTCACGATTCAAACCACACCGGATGCGTTACCCAACTGTCCGCCGGTGAATGACCCGGCGAAAGCGTTGACGAAGAGGAGGAGGACTCTTCCTCGTCCCTGGAATAGTGTTTGTCATTCTTTAATTGAAAACTCTCCGTACAGGGGCTTGTTGTGGCTCTCACGCGCGGCTAAAAATGAGCTTTTTGTTGACTCGCTCCTCCCCGCCTTTCCCATACCTGGCGGGCGGACTGCCTCGTCGATGACAAACGAAGCTCAGCCACTGAATGCAGCTAATCGCGTCTCTTGTTACGCAACAGGGGAGGGTCCATAAAAGGGGCACATGTTGAAATGTATGTTCAAACCTACTCAACACAGTAAACAGAGTGCTAGTGTTTACATTTAAGCGTTTTGACAGCGTTTCTACACTTCGAACGAGTCGGAAAGAACCATTTACCCTGGAGCCAGGATTTCCCTTTTCTATCATTTTTCATCCAGCTCTGGTAAGACAATCGTGTTAAATCGGATTTATTGTTCTCACCAGGCGAATGTTATGGACTGCTCTGAACATTTAATTTTGAGGCTGTCGTCAAATAGACACATCCAGAAAAAAAAAAGTTGGGCGGATTTATTTATTTATTTTAATACAAACAAACAAAAGCCAGTCCAGCCAACATTCCCCCATAATCAATATGATCACAGACTTTACTTTGGTCAAATTACCCTTACTGTCGGATCTCGTGGAAACATTCAAACGCCACATTTGGACTCGCTGTTATTCCTATAGAGCCTCCGTGTTTACATCTCCACTGCGCCGTTCCAGGCCGAGCCACGTGTTGGCAGCTGGGGACCATGTGGCCTTTGTAAACACTGCAGTCTTGTTGCTTTCCACCCGCCACTCTGGGCTGGTCCTGATCTCTCTGGAACTGGAAGGTTCCGGACGGAGAGCTGAAGTTTTTTTTCCCGACCTTACCTGAAACCTTACTTGCTAGTCAGTGCCTGATTCTCCATTGTGTGATGAGGTGATGCAAGGATGATTTGCATCCATCTGTCTGATACACTAATTATTAGGCTCATGTGCTTAACAGGCTTAAATGGCGTTACTGTTGCAGGAAATGTCAGGTTATCACGTGATAACTTGGAGGTAGTTTGGGATCATCAGCCAGATCCTTTTGTGAAACAAAAAGAGTCAAATGAATGAGAACAGAGTGAAGGTAACTTCTCCCACAGAAGAGTTGTTACAGAATGTCTCAGTCAGATGTTATCTAGCACTTGGAATGTAACTATACAAGTAAAATCTGCTTGTTTTCTTTTATAACAGGGATTATGTTAGTGCGTTGATTCTCATCTGCTAATGACTTTTGTTTCATAATATGACCCAGCGGTGAGTCATTTCTTTTTCCTCTTTCAAAACCTGCCTTATTTATTATTTTGTGTTCAACGATAAAGTAGATTTTTCATTATTGAAAGTCCAAAAGGCGCTTCATAAATCCAGAGCCCATCAGAAAGATGTGATTTGGACTCCAGGGCGTTGTTGGTATTCAGATATACCTCCTGCCAAGAGGTTTAACATTTAAACCGCTTCCTTCAACCAGTGCAGCAAAACAAAGTGTAGAATTTCTCTGTGGGTGTGCAGAGGCTGGCAACATCTGTCATAGTAACCGATCGGGGATGTTTGTTCACTTTGTTCTACTTTCTACATGCATTTTAAGCATAATTGCTTTAAGAAGACATTCGTGTTGTAAAATAAAGCAAAGCATTGACTTTTTTTTATTTTTTGTTTTAGATTTTCAGAGCTCTACATCTCTAAAAATCCAACAGGAGATGGGACAGAGATATCTGTACAAAAAAGCCCAATGAAAACAAGAGAAGGACATCTCCATTAATTCTTAATAAAACAGACTGAGACAAATTAAATATAGAAGTCTGACATCACAAAATGTTTAGCTTATTTTATTAGGAATGCGTTTTGTTTGAGTTCCTCGCTCAGTCACAACTTTCTTTCCATAGGGTGTTGTCAGTCTGTCACTTTAGTGAAATACGCATTCATTTCTGTAAAGGATTGTATTTTTAAATTGTTGGGGAACCAGTTGAGTCAAGTTTCAGCCGATTTAAGTCACCATCTGATTTTTCTGGGCTTCTTTATTTGTGTTGTATTCAAGACTTTATTAATCACTTTCAAGTGGTCCCATATGATGGACTGGCGATGTGTCCAAGGTGTAGTCCCACCCCCACGCTGTTAGGATAAACCAATTTAGATAATGGAAGGATGAATTTACAGTAGACCCCTTCACCTATTCTCGGCTCAGTATTTGTGGTCTTTCCAGTGGAACACAATTTCACTTTATTTGGGAAAAATTTGCCTATTTGCAGACTTTTTTGTAGATTGTATCTGAAATATTGAAAAGAAAAATGCAGCACAGGAAGCTAAATGCTACAGGAAACACTATAGGATGAAGTTGGCAAAGCAGCTAATCTAGAAGCTATGTTTGTTTTCATGGCACTGATTGGCTGTACCTCCAGTATATTTATTGGTCAAACTATTTAAATAATCATTTATAAGGAGTTTTTTGGGGCCTGGGATTAAGTGTTTGTGGATTTTTAGTATTTACGGACAGATGTCGTCTGTACTTACCACTGTGAATACCGGGGGTTGCTCCATTGTTATCGTCATTGCTTGTGAAGATATTTTCAAAAACTTCAGCAGTTAGTGTTTCAAGGCTGTTTACTAATTGGGGGAAAAAAATATCAGATTTTTTGCTTCTGACCAACTGATTACAGCTAAACAGCCTCCCTGCGCCCCCAAAAATAGTCTGATTTAGATCAGATGGAACTGGATCTCTGTGGTGTTTGCCAAACCTTTATTGACAACACACCTTTCAGGCCATGAAGATACCTTGTGTTGGCCCAGGCACACGGGTTTGCACTTGAAATAGTTTGGAAAAATCCAGTTTTTGAAGTGGATGAGTAAGTGTGACACCACACAGATGAGTTTGTGTGAGTTGTACAGAGACGACGTGGAGATGAGGTAGGTCAAACTGGAGGACAGAGGTCACTGATAAGGAGGCCTGTCTGGATCTCTCGCCACCTTCCTGACACTCTCGCCCTCATTCTCTCCTCTCTCCAGCTCTCTTTCACTCCACCGTTGTATCTTTATTGTCGCTGCCATCTGTTCCATATGCGGCAGCCCAATTAGAGAGTTGATCTTTGACCCCACCTGTCCAAATTCAATTTGGAAGTACAGGACTGTCCTCATGCTCCCCCTTCCTCCTGTTACCGTTGCAGTATCTTCTATGGATCGGCTACGAAGACTTTGACCTTTTCCTTGTTATTTTTTCTGCAGGGCCTGATTTGATCCGTCAGCCTTATGTGGGTTGGGTTTTCACCTCCAAGAGTCCTGTGGCTGTCAGCTGACCATGATGGTCTAAACGGAGGAACCCCAGGAAGAAGCACAGTGTGTTTTCGCTCTCACTACAACTAGGTAGGGACCAGAAGACGGGGAGAGACACGGACCAGAAGAAAGATCAAGAAACTTGATTAGACAAAAAAATGTCACGAAACAAAGAACTGGTGCTGTTCTACATTAGATTTAAACTGTCTCAGAGGAACTATCCGATCCAACACATATTGCCCACCGAGCCCCCGGACGGCACGGGTGCCGGGGACGCAGGGTTGGACGACGAGCAGACGTTAGAGAGGTGCGCTAATGGGACTTTTAACGGGACGAGTCCAGGATCCCCTAGGCGGCACCAGGCGGCGTCGGCAGCAACAATGGACGCAGTAAAAGTGGCCCTACGAGACACGGCCCGCGAGTTCGAGCTGCGCTACTCCCGCGCCTTCAACGACCTTCACAGCACGCTGCACATCACACCAGCCACCGCCTACCAGAGCTTCGAGAACGTGATGGACGAGGTGTTCCGGGACGGCGTCAACTGGGGCCGCATCGTGGGGCTCTTCGCGTTTGGTGGTGCGCTGTGCGTGGAGTGCGTGGAGAAGGAGATGAGCCACCTGGTAGCCAGGATTGTAGAGTGGATGACCGTCTACCTGGATGAGCAGATTGAACCTTGGGTGGAGAGCCAAGGAGGATGGGTGAGTCTTCTAAGAACACACACACACACACACACACACACACACACACACACACACACACACACACACACACACACACACACACACACACACACACACACACACACACACAGTCTGTTAAGGCTCATGTTGTTTGCTTGTGCTGCCACACTCATAAAGAATACTTTGATATGCTGGTTTGATTACATGGGGAAGTTCAGTTCAGATTCCCGCATAGAAGATTTCCATGTCGACACCTTTGTTTGTGGAACCCTGCTGGCAGCAATAAGATTAAAAAACAGAAATAGATACCTTCCTGATTTTTGAGCTAGATGTGTGGTTTAGAAATGAAACACTTTTTGCTGATGCGATGCACCAATAAGAGGGTGGAACTGGCTCTGATCGCAAGAAAGCCGATCAGAGCCTCTCATTCAATGCAAGAAAGATGATTGATCTACAAGGGCAAGAGCATGTACTTTGAGTTGATTGAAAGGTAAGGTAATTTTATTTATATTGCATATTTTCAGCAACAAGGCAATTAAAGTGTTTTAAAAAGTTTATGAACATACTGTGTCTAACATAAATGCAGATAATTCTTTATTGTTTTTAAGTTTCTAAACCACAGCATCCGTCAAAGAACTTGTAGAATTATTGTCTGTTCCTGTTATGTCCTTTAGAAAATGTTAATTTACTGATTAAATGTAAAAACTAAAAATAAATGAAATTGGTAGCTGACAGCCACTGTTATATTCAACCACAAAAGTGGCATCAGTCAGACAAGTATGATCGGTAAACAATAGAATGTTTCTTTTCTTTTCAATATAAATGTGATGCATGTTAGCTGAAGATTGCTGTTACAGTTAACCAAGGAATGAGAATAGAAACCAGAAATCGACATGAGCCAGACAAGCGTGATGGGAGCATTCCTTGTGTATCTCTGTCAGGACTACACCTGCTTCACTGTGTAGTGTTAATGTGTCGGATGCTTTGAGTCTTGGCCGCCTGCCGATGTTGACCTGCAGGGCTCGGGTTTCATTTCATCACACGCTGTGTCTCTGCTACCCAGCCGTGAACATGCCTTTGACTCGACGACTCGCCAGGCGTCCGGTCGGCCGCCCTGACCGGCAGACGGGAACAGACGTCCGGATTAGCTGCATTGGTTGAGAGGAACGTGCTGCAGGAGTCAGCACACGGTGTCGGAGAACCGTCTGTGTTTAGAACCCAGTAAGAGCAGGATGTTTGCGTGGTCAGCAGCTGTTTCAGCTGTCCACTAATTGATCAGCATCTGGGAACTCGATGAGCTGGATCGAAGTGGGGGGGCTTAACGAGCTTTGGAGCCGTCCTGCAGCCCGCCTGCCTCAGCGCAATGGAAGTTTTCCTCATAGGGAAAGATGAAGTCCAGGGCTTTTACAGATAGTCCTTTGTTTGTGCGGTCAGTTGATTGCTCCGCGCTTTGTGCTTCCACTCCCTCACCATCTGACCAGTTTATCAGGACAGTGTTTTTCTCTTGTGCTCTTTGCCAAAGCAGCTGCATTCACATGAAAGCTATGCATGCCTCTTTTTTTTTTTTCGGGGTGTAGTTGTCTAGTGCAGCGCAGCACTGTTGTTTTCTTTGTGTTGTGTCACCTCCAGGACAGTCGAGGTCAGCGGTTTTCCTTTGTCCCATCCATTTGATTTTATGATATAGAGCACCAGAGGGAGGAGCTGTTTATAGTCACCCACTGCTGGATAACAACAGGTCAGAGGTCGGTTCTATAGAAACCAACATCTCAGCATTCGGAGGCATGTTTGTGAAACTACAGCTAGGTGGGCATAGCCCTGCTGTTTGTGCACAGAAACGCATTTCAGGGTTAGCTACCTGGATTTTGCAGGAGTCTGATTTAGCAACCAGCTAACAGGGTATGTTTTGTAACCATAAAACTTTACAACATGCTGTTAGTTGTTACATAATTGAGTTCCCACCTTTATAAAAAAAAAAGAAAAAAAAGCATGTGCTGATCTCATGATTACACTCCTGCTGCACTACGTTTTGTTGGTGGTCTGCACTGACAGATTTTAACCCCTGCTAGTGTTAGGATCTCAAGAGGAATTCCATACATACAGTGAATCGTGCATGCATTGTTAAAACCCCGTTGTTAAACCACGAGGACACCAGTCTTATATGTTACCCTCTGGGTAACATATAAGTGTTTTTGGGGTGGCAGTTAAGGGTTAAATTAGACTTAACATGAGTTAGAGGAGATATTCCAATCAGAATTTTGTGACCCATTTTTGACTCTTAGTTTATAGAAAGCTTTATCAAAGCTCCAGATTCTGATTATTCCAATCATTTTAAAACAAATGAGGAAAACAAATAGAGTTGTGATTTTTAAAATGCATCTTGATGCTTTTTGCCAACTATCAGTATCAACCTTAATACCGAATACTGTAAGCAAATGTCTACACCCTGTGCAAGGTTGCAGTTCTTAGTTTTCAACTAGCCGATGGTGCCAAACACCAGCTCATTCCAATCACATCTCGGTACGACTCTAATCACCATGTTTTATGAAGAAGACTGTGTAATCATTGCCTGAAAAAATATTACAACTACTTCAGCACTACATTGTTGGCATACCTAACAATAACTTGGAATGCAGTTTCACATGAGTGATGTGAGAGTGAGTATGCTATTTGGAAACATGAACCATGTGGAAATTTCCCAACATAACCACATGTTAACGTCAGTGTTGTTGTTAATAAACATATCTCACCATTACCAATGAGCTCAAGCTTCCTCCATTTGGCTTAACATAAGCTACATCAGTACTATTTTAGGCATAGATAAGTGGGTGTGGTGTGCTAACCGATTAGCGTGTCAGTGTCACCCGGACTGGGAGACGTGAATGACTTCATTAAAAATTTTGAATGGATGAGGATGATGGATGTTTCCATTTACAGTTGTTTCACTTCTCTCCTGCAACTGCAGTTAGCACATGATGTTGCTTCCTTCCTTTTTTTTTTGTCTTCATCTTATTTTCTAGATCCATTCAGCTCATTAAACTTGTTAGGTTCTGATCTGTTTGTGACAAATCTGGGCCACTTCCAGTGATAGCCCAACTTAAGATCTACTGCCAGGTGTTTTACCGCTGGTGCTGTGACTTTTCCCCTTTCATTTTTTCTTGTTTCTCCTCAGACTCTGCCTACACTTTCTCTGAACTATATCGGTCTCTTGGTGAAAACCCGTATAATACTTTGTTGTGGGATTTTTTCTTTTCTTCTGTCTTTCATTTCCTCTTCTCTTCCTCGCTCTCCTCCCCCGACGCCTCCTCAGAGGAGGGAAGTCAAAGCCGTTGGCAGATGTGGGTATCGCTGTGAGGCAGGTGTGCTCTTACTGTTAGCTGATGAAATATCAGTCTGCCCTGAGAAGCAGCAAGGTCACTCTCTCTGCTGCGCTGAAATATTTCTCAGTCCTTGTACCTGTTAATTCATTGTTATTGTAACAATAGCAATGAGTTAAAGGAATTGAAACTGAAGAGAAAAAAAAAAGTCGACATCATGTTCGATGTGAATGAGTCACGTGAAGCAATTCTTTGTGTTGTAGAAATGCACTGATAGGAGATTTTAGTGAGTCTTTGACTGGCTGATAAAACAGCAAACTTGCTGTAATACATCAAGCCTTTGTGAAAACTCGCCATCTGCTAAAGTCTCCTTCTTTTTTTAAATTGATCCCCTTGGATATACTCCTGCCCTGACTTCAATGTATGTTCTGTCACCTAGCAACTGTGAAGAAACTAAATATAAGCTGATAAAAATGGAACTCAAAATCTTGCTGAAGTTTTTTGTTTTAGTTAATCCATTTAAATTAATTAATATATATACATTTCTTTTAGCAAAAATGATATTTAAAAAAACTACTTGGTCTACTATTACAAGAACAAATCTGGAGAAAAGGACGCTTTTGTGAAGGAGCCATCGATTTTCGACAGCCTTCGTTGTGACATAATCAGCCTTTAAATGTTGCCTTCAAAGGTGCAACTTCTGAATTTGGACTCATCCTTTGGTTTTAAACATATTCTGATGTTTAAAACATATTCTAACAGCTTCCACACTGAAGTATTACTGGCCTTTAGAATTTATCTGGAAAAATTATTTTGGGGAAGCTAAGTGCATTACCTTTTTCAAAATTAGCCAAAATGTTAGCTTAAAAAAAAAATAACTCGGAGAGTAGCGCATCAGCAGATTGATACCACCACTGCAAATGTATGAATTGAAAGTTTCTAAACCACAATGCAACAGTTTTTGAAGATTCGTGGTTCTAAAATTGTTTAATACTTATTTTTTATTTTACCTGATTGAGCAGAGTTTCCTTATTCAAAGTTTTATTTCATCTTTTTAACTGAAAAGTATTTTTGATTCTTCACTGACTGAATGAAAACTCCTCCAGAAGTCAAATAAGGATTATTTCATCCTATTTACTCTGCGACTTTTCCTTCAGATTGAACTGGACTGGTGGTTTTTACAAGCAAGAGTAAGAGTAACACCTTCTATAGAATCTCCTTTTCTTTTTTTCTTTTTTTTTTTAACAAGTTCTAAGTATGAAAGCTATTGATATTTATTTTTATTCAGATGTCGAGAACAGCAGTGGAATCACAGAAGATGGCACTAAGTTGAAATACACTTGCAGTATTGTTTTACTTCAGGGTTCGTCGATTCTATAAATATTAAGACCGGATTACTATTCGAGCACTCAGCCCTTTAACATTATTTTTACTCAAATGTCCAAAACGCTGCAAAATCTCAGAAATCGGAAACAAGTGAAATTTTAATTTTGAAATATGCATAAACCCCGTCTTACCTACAGTATACTGCAATAGGAGGTTGCACTTTTTTGCTGCATATTTCATAAAATGTTCTTCAAAAGACAAAGAAAACAGAAAATCAGATTCCCAAACTGGGGAAATAGTTGAGTTGGGGGCGGGAGGAGGAGATGCATATTGAAAAGTGAAAGGTGTTTTGCACAACAGAGCATCCTCCGCCATGGG